TATGACCCCATAACCCAAATGTACATTTTCTGCCCCATCACCAAGACCTTCAACGCCGAAGAATCCCGACCCTTCCTTATCCCGCACGAGTTTGTACAGCCTATAGAAATCCCCATTTTAGAATTCATCCACAACACTAAATTCAATCACAAATTATATAATCTAATCCAAAACACACCTTATGAGTTTGCAGTTGGCACTGAAGAACTAACCACTATCAAGGCACTCCAATTGCTTTGGCCACTGCTTCAGACTAAAAATATCATCCGCATCTTAGCTAAACTACTAACAACTTCAGAACTAATTCACGACATCTTCCCCCACGGTTTTTTCCCCGACGACTAACAGGTAAGTATGAATTAAATGAATATAACTAACTAATTGAAATATTAAAAAACTCACCATACTTTATCCATGTTTTTTTAGATTTTTAGCCTTCATCCGACAATCACCTACAAAAACCACAAAAGACAAATAAAAATCGCAAATTTCATCAAACAGATTTCAAAAATTCTATTAATCTCTTACACTTATAAATTTATAAATATAATACCAATGCAGTAAATTCATTTCTAAAATTTTCCCCACAAGCAGTAAATCTAATTATGATGAAAATTTGTATCTTAAAATTCCCCCATTACTAGCAGTAAATTTCCAAATTCTATGCAGTAAATTAATAAAATGCAATTGCAGTACTAACCTTTTGATATTTTCATTCATTCGCACAGAAATTCTATCCACACTCACACAGCTCGCCCACGAAGAATTGTTTAAAATAATGAATTTCAGTTCCAAGTTTTCACACTCAACAACTCTAACATATAATAACAAGTTTCAAACTTTCCTTTAACCCGGTTGGAAAGGAATCATATACTAAACAAAACTAACCAACGCAGCTTACTAAATACCACAAATCATAAAATAACAGCATGACTAAGAAAAGGAAACCAACGGTACCCAAACCGGACTAACCCAGTTTAAAACTGGATAATTTATTCTTTTGAAGACTATTACAAAGTCTTAGAAAGAAATAATAAAACACAAAAAAGTCGAAAGACAAACCCATACCACAAACAATTTGCTTTTTGAACAAAGTACATAACCAACAAGACATAAGTAAAACCACAACAAACCCAACATAAAATGTTGTCACATAACAGGACTCCTCATAAAAACCGCATGAAATCATACTCCCACACCTGGCCTAACCCACCAGGAAAGGACGTCCTGAGCATGCTCTATAGCCGGCCTAACCCACCGCGCTACATCCACGCTTTGTGACCACACCTTTATTTTTAATAAGAGCTACTCAAGGGTGAGTAACTCTTCAAAATAACCGAACTAAAACAAAAAGCTTTTGTGAAAACAACTAACTAAAATCATTATTAAAAAATATATTAAACTAATAAAAGATTTATAAAATGTAAAATTACATGATGCAATATATAGATCAGAATACAACACCAAGGACGAACATCAAAAGACAAGACGACCTCACTACACTCGAGAGAGAATGACCAACTACAATCGATATGCCGCTCACAATCACAACTCAAAGGATTTAGAGTACGACTTGACTTCGCAGAAAAGGACTTCATTGAACTAGACCAATGACCACCTCGATGTTCAAGTATACGTACAGATCCGAGTAACCAGGCATCCCCTCCACGCACAATCTCCACGCCATTCCCGAGCTAGATCAAACACAAAAGAAGTTCTCCCCGAAGAACAGAAAAACCTGACATAGCCAACCATTCTGAAACCAGAATTGATGCTGTTGCAGAGACTCAGTCGTTGTCACAAGAAGAACACAACGTCTTGTGTCCTCAATTCCAGATCCCTGGAACTTCCTTAACAAAAAGGAAACAAAAGAAAAATGATGTTCGCCAAATACCAACGTCCATCATCCATCCTTGAACTACAGAAGAACTGTTCTAAAAAATTCTGTAAAACCCGGATGGGTGGAACCTGATCTAAACTATATTTTATGATTGGATAAATTAAATGTTTTACCAATGTAAAGTATTTAATATTAACCAATCATGATCCATCTAACTAACAACCCACTTATTTGTAAGTGCTGAAGTTACTTGTAATTTCAGCACCAGAGAGATTTGAATTTAACTTAGAAATTAGTTGGACTCTCCCGAGCACTTCAGCAGCCGCAATAAACCAGTATACCCTAGATCTATTGAGCCTAGCAGAGACTAGTTAAACAACCTGAGACTAGATAGTATAAGAGTAAGATTAGGATCGGTATTAGACTAAGAAGTTGCACGAATCTATCCGGCCGAAAATAAGATAGCGTGACGAGCAGACGGTGTACCCTATCCGAAATTACTCTATGAGTTATACACCCCAGTCCTAACTCAGATGTCTTGAAATTGGACAAGAAACTAGTGTCGGTTTGTAGAAGCTTAGTAAGGTGAAATTGTAGGGAAATGCGGGAAACGTATTGCATTAAACAGAACATAAAACTTATGGAAGTTCAAGCTGCTATTTTAGCAGGTTAAGCGAAGGCGATTATAGCCGCACGTTTATGTGCATTTTTCTTTATTACTATTTTGTTCTGTACTTTTTTGTTTAGGTGTCTTTAACTAATCACTCTAAAACTTCGTGAGTCCATATCTATCTCCAAAACGAAAAATGAGAATCGTTGTTTTTTTCTGAATATAATTTTTTAAGTTTTTAAAACCGGTCAAAATTTTTATTCATTTGATTCGTATACATACATCTAGTTTTTTTTCTACACACCTTTATTTTCTTGAATCCAGTCGGAAAATGGCGATATTTTGATGTAGTGTAGTATTCCGCCAATTTCCGGGCTGGAAAATATACCAATGAGCTCCTTCTCATTTGTTTTTGAAGTAATCGGACTACCATAATCAAAGGGATATTCTTTGAATCCCAAGTTGTCAGTGGCAATATTGAAGCAAACCAGCGTGTCAGTTTTTTGTAGTAAAAGGTCTTCACATTGGTCTTGGGGAACGAGTGCGACTTCAGTTGCGCTCAACTGAATTCCTCTTAAATCACTAATCACTGGGTTTACTCCCCATCCAAGCGCTATTGCTTGTTTGTCTTCGTTTTCTTGTTCAGTTATAACCGCCGGACCTACGTTCCACTGAAATTTCAAGTTGCCAGCTAATTTCAGTATCGCGATATCAAAATCTGTATTTGAATTGTTCAAATATCGAGGATGTGCAATAACTTCTTTCACTTTGATCTCGACGCCGAATGGGATCGTTACTAAGCCTGAAACCCCCGCCAAAACCGATAAACTTTCAGGCTCCTCCCATGCGACCCGACCTGCTGCTGTTACGATAGTGTTGTCGTCAATAATTACTCCGCTATTCAAAGATACAACCCGTTCATCCTGCGACCTGAGAACTCGAACCACAAACGGGTACTTCAGTGTTGATGCTGGAAGTGCCCAAAGCTCCGTTAAAGAGCAGCATGCCAAAAACACTACCACAAACATTTTCATAGCTGCTGAGTTTCAACTTTGCGTGCGTCGCAATTTTTCTTCCTTTTATACCCAGAAAAGTTTAAACAATGAAAACATAATTTATCGTTTGCAATTGGACAGTTATTGTTTTGTAGGCCCAAAACAAAAACACAAAAGTTTTGACTAAAAACAAATGATGGGAAAATATGATGTTGCCTAAATAAATGACACAATAGATGTTTCTTTCGAATTGGATTTTAAACAAATTCCAGTTTTGTCCAAATCATTATAAAATTCCTTTTCAATTCTGAACGTTGTAGAGTGCTCACAATTTTGCCAGAATTAATTTTTTTACATGAAAAAAAAAAGATTTAAAAAACATCATCATCCTCTGGCTGGGGTGCTCACTTTGTGTTTTGACTTTCAAAGTCGAACAGAAGGTCCGCTCGATCAAAAAAGATTAGTGGAGACAGGGTTTTGGAGCACGGTCGAAACATATCGAGAATCGATCGAGCGTTGTCGAAGCGTATCAAAACTTGGTCAGGAAGGGCCGAGACATTCAATAACTTATCAAAATGTGGTTAAGCACAGTCAAAACGTACCTCAGGCAAAAATTTACCTTCAGCAAAAATTTACCTTCATTTACCTTACGGTAGGTCATTTAGGGAGGGGGGGGGGATTGTACGGTTGATTCAAAATCTAACCTGAAAAAGAACTCGATTGAGGTTTATAAACTTCACAGCATTTCTGATACACTTGTGGACAAATTTAGACACCGAATTGGAAAACATCAATCCCCAGTACTTAGTTTAATATTTGTTAAGCTAAAATTTAAGGTGAAATTAGCAAAATTTGGAAGTTCCCAATACAAATACTAGCTCGTCAAGAAACCTGGTTTGATTTTTTTCTATGTAAATATCAAAATAACAAAAAACGATTTTAAAGCTAAAGAAACATACGTTGAAAAAAATTGTGTTAATAGTTAAGAATTTGAGCGCATGATTATTTAAACTAGTTCATTTCCAAATCACAGGGTTGCATAAAAATCTGATGCATATTCTCGATTGATTTAAATCCGATTTTTATTATTTTACCTTCATTTTTTAGATTTTTATTCGAAACGTTTTTGTTTCAAGAATCAATTAATTTACGCAAATTAATTCAGCATCTGAAAGAAGAACACAAGTTACCCATATTTTTCTATTCCCAGTCAATTTCTGAGACTGGACTGGATAAATCCGAAAGTGCTGAAAAACTTTTCCAGTTAAAAGTATGCTATGAAGAGCGAAATACGTAACAAATGTAAAAACTGCTTTTTGATTTGTATTCTACGATTAAAATCCGATTCAAATCATTGATCTAAATCAAGTTGATTTTAATCATGCAACCCTCACAAATCAATGACCCCATTTCCATTTCAACCTCTGCGCTTGCCTGTTTTGACAAAACAATTTACGTAAGTCCTCTTTTCATTTAAAAAAAATCGCCAAATATTTGTCAATTTTGTATCTCTGGTCATGCATTTCATAGCAACCGGAAAAACAGTTTTACAATGACTGACTTATAGAAAACAAACTTGATAAAACGTAAATTCAAAATCTTATATTTTAAACGACAATTCACATCATTTTTTGCCACGCAGGGGCTACAGGCAGGGCAAGGCAAGAAAACAGACGCTGCAAAATAAGACAGAAGCAACGAACTACTTAAATGTTTGGTGGTTTTCTCAGAATCAAGTGAACAAACAAACCTGCCTCCTTAATTAAAGCGGTTTTGGTTAATTTTTTGGGATAATTCTGATTTTTCATTTTTAGCTGATCAGAAGCAGTGTGATTCATGTTCAAAGTGGGGCAGATATCCAGCGTTCCATTTTCAGGTAGATATTTTGTTTGATTAGTTTAGTGCGAAGACTGTTCACTTGATCTGTGTGTAGATTCACATTAATAATTTTAGGGGTGGGATTCCGAAAAAGTGGAAACAAACTAAACCATATTCGATTAAGCATTTCGTCAATCAGAGAGGTTAGCTGAATAGACGTAGTAAAACAGTAATTGTAAAAGTCAAAACTACAATTGAATTAAAATTCATTAAATGAACTCACGAAAACAAAACGAAACACTTTCGCAATAAACTCACCATTAGATCAAACGATGTTACAAGCAACTTTGAACAGCATTAGAGTCATTAAACTTATCTCAGGTTTCAGTTTTTTTATCAGAAAACAAATTCAAGTGAACATGAAAATGAATACAATAAATTGAAACCAATGCCTAAATTGAAAAATAAGACTTTAAATTATTTCACTTCTAGGTCATGTGAAAAGATTTGGGCACTAGAGAAGGAAAACAAAAATTTGAGGTATTGCAACAAAATTGCACTTATTTTGGGCTGAATGTTGTTTTTGCACAGAAATGTTTGTTATAATAATGAAAATGTGAATAAACATAAACAAAATTTACAACAAATTTCGGATTAAATTATAGCCAATTTCGACAGAAATGTCAAAAAATGAACACAACACCGAAAGAAAATCCACCTTTAATACGGTTTAACACTTCGCAGAAATTAGGAATTGCCTTTTGAAACATAATTAAGATCTATTCGTAATTTAATTTCTAAAAGAACATTTCCAGTTCATTTCAATTCGATTAGATCTAAAAAGAATGTTTTCTTCTTTTTTCATTTCATATCTATGTTTGACGACTGGCAAGTCTTTATGAACATTTCAAGCTGACTAGGAGCCTCTTGGACTTTCGGCATCGGCATGCGCGTAACAGTCCATCCCGCATCTGTCGACATGCAACTCGATTCGTCCACGAGAGTCGAACACGACGACTCGTCAACTCGGCTGCTCATGACATTCCGTGACACCGTAAGACAATCGTCATCATTCATCAGAGAATCTTCATTCATTGCCGCGACAAGAGACCTCGTGCAAATTGTCCTCGTAGTTCCGATCATATTTCGTCGCTTACTTGGACTGTCTTCAACCATTGCGATATTTTCAATATTCGCCACACACAACGGACGTTTGAAGGGACTTTTAGCTGGACTCTTTCCAACAACCTTTGCAGCTTCCAAGACTCGGTTCTTCCCAGGAGTAACATTTCCAAGCTCCGCTAAAGTTTTTTTCATCGGTGAATTGGGATCTATTTTAGATGCTACTGGAAGACTTTCAAGGATCTTCGCGAGGGAACTCCGAGCCGAACCAGGTGCACTTTCGGCTCCTGAAGAGTCTCCGTTATGCTTTGCACTCCAATCTTTAATCTGTCGTTTCCAGATCTTAACTTTATTATCCCAGTGTCTTCTACTGTGCGTCTCATCTTTATTCGGAGTAACTGGATCACTTCGTTTTCGTTTCTCAATTGGAACGGTGTTTATATACATCTGATACTCTTTAGTGTTCTTACCATACGCGATTTGCTTGCTTCTTCTTTGAATAAGTCCGTCCATATCTGCCGAATCTACACTATCAAAAGTAGTGTTAAGAGAGGATGCCGTTTCCATCGACATGAAACTCATGTTTCCACTTTTCACAGAATCTACTTCGTCCATAATATCTGCCCACGATGCCGACGAAAACTGATGACGATTCAAGTCAATATCACTCGGCGAAGAGTCCGAGGCCTTGGAGGACTTGTTAGTCGTGTTGAAAACAGACCCTGGTGATTTCGAGAACAACTTAGTTTGAGCTTTCGATCCAGATCTGGTATATGTTGCTAGGTTACCGGGCGAATTGACAGTCAGTGGGCTTTCAGCTGGCGCCAGTGGTCTTCTGAAAGGAACAGGACTCTCACTTGGTTTAGCCATTTTAGCCAGCGGACTTGAAGTCAGCGGTGAGTTTTGAACCGAGCTAGGCAAATGAAGTTTCCCATTCCATGCATTGGCTGGCGACTTCGACATGTCTGATTTCAAATCATTTGCGCTGCTATTTCTACTTCCACCCAAAGATGGAAAATGTTTCGGAGAGCTGGTTGAGAAATTGAGTTTCATTTGTCGGGTTTGCTTGGGTGGTCGCGTATTTTTCGATCCTCGTGATGAAAGATTTTTGGCATCTTTTGAACTCTCGTTTTGTTGTTCACGCTTTTCAAAACTTTCGTTCACATTTTCATTTTCATTGTTCACAACCTGAGCTCGATTTCTAGTCTGATAACCTCCTAGATTCCTTCCTTTTCGCGCTGCAGTTCTTTGCCTCTGCGTGTTTTTGTATGTAAAGTGGATTCCGACGCTTTCTGTCGTATCAGTTTTTGGTGCATTTGGTTCATTTGCCGACTGGTTTTCTTCAATTTGGCCCTGTTGCTGGTTGCCCAAAGATGTTGTTGAGTTTGACAATGCCCGTTTCATGATACTGACCTTAAAAAATTCTCAACAAATGAGAACAAGATTTCGATAACTCGATATGCAGAATGGCACTGAAGATATGTCAACAAGCTTTTCTGACAATTAGAAAAATGTAAAAATTAAGAACATTTTATATATCAAGTTTTATTTGCGTCAAAAATTGCAAAAAAATTATACGTAACCAGTAAAAACCGATATCAGTTCATGAAATTTGACGCTTCGCTTAGTGCGATCAATTAGTCTTGAGTTCGTATGTTAATAAAAACCTTTCTTGATATTTGGCAAGTGTCGTGACACTAATTGCGTCTAATTTCACTGATTAACCAGACTTTGAGGGCTCAAAGACCGAAATGGTTTGGTAAACATATCCGCATTAGGACGTCAATCTAATTAAGCTTAATCGTTACTTCTGATAATGAACATTCAAATAATCAATTAGGTCATTAAGAAATTCTAAGAACAATGAATCATAGCTAAAACATTTCATTTTATATTATATTGAGCATGAGTAGAGTACAGAAATTTAAAAAAACATAACTAAGACGGCACAAAACTATAACTTTTTAAGTTCGAAAAAGTATTTGGATCTTTATATCAACTGAGTAGTTTCAAAAAATAGCCAATAATGATTTTAAAAAAATCGGCGATGTAAAGCACAATGATTAATTAAGAAAAAATTTCACAAATCAGACAAACTTTTATCATCGTTTTTTCAAAGCAATCAAGAAACTTTCACAACGCCACAGCCTTTTTCTAAGAAAAATCACGTCACGATCTTGCTTTAGACACTTTTCGAAAGATCCAAAATATTCATTTAAAAAAGTTCTGATGGCCAAACGAAGGGAAACTTGTGGCCATTAGCTTCAAAAACGAGTTTTGAGAGCGCTTTCAACTCGACTTATTTCAAAATTTCATAGCTCCAATTTGAAAAGTTTTCTTGCTTTGAGGTTGCGGGTTAGACTTCTTCCTAGCTCTTTTCGACTCATGTGGGGAAGATAACGTGAAAAAGTTATCCGTGTTCAGAATCTCAGTCGAGCCCATGATCTTAACCGCACAACCATCAGTGCCGAAGATTAAGTCGTCTAGAAACTTTGCAAATATGAGAAATACAACTGCGATAGTCAGACCGATGAAGAAAACCGCCGAACCGAATAAAGAAGCTTTGAAGGCTTCTGTCATCGTAATTTTGGGAATAGTTGAATTCAAAGCGGAAATCATTTTGGACACTTTTAGAGCTAAACAAGAATATGGATGGAAATTTGAAATATAATATAATTCAGCTACGATAAGCGACGTCAATTTATGGAAGAAACTATTTTTGAAAAAGTTAGATCAAGTTGATAATTTAAAAAAATGAATTAGAACACTAAAAATAAAAATTAAATCAGATAAATTAAAGACAACGGACAAAATCTAAGCCGAATTGTGAACGCTGCTTCGGATATCAAATACTAATGGATTCGCTAATGGAGTAATGTAAGAAGAACTACGAACCCTTAAAGTAATTTATTCCGTCAAGAAAAAAAGGAAAATTTACATAAAGTAGGAATTTTCTTCTTCAGAACACATGTGACATTTATTCGGAGTGACACATAACAGAGCCTTTGACGCTTTAATGGAGGTTTTACAGCCTAGTTTGTTATTTTAACGCGAGTATTCAGTACTTTTCTGTCATATGGTGAAGAGCACTTCAATAAAACAAAAATTTCAACAAAAAGGTACAGAAATGTCGAATTTGTAGAACAAATGGAGAATATGTAAATCGGATTGGAAGAAAAACTTGTGAAGATTACAATTAGAAAAATGAGCAAACTCGAAACGGTATGAGCAGAAAAACAAAGATTGCTGCTATAAAAAGAAGAATCAATGAATACAGTTAAACGTGGAAGGTAAATTCTTTTAGAAGCCTTGGGTATTAACAACAAAAAACGGTTAGATTAACAAACCAAGAGCAATCCACAAGTTGGATTTCGAAATGAAAAGAGGAAATGTAATATTTAAAAAAAGTAATTTACAGCTATTCGTTTCCTTGTTAACTGCTAGAAGGAAGGATTTCAAATGATGCAAATATCCTTTTTTGGGGAACTCGAGACTCTGCTTCAATTTCCAAATTTGTTCACGAAATTCAAGATAAGAAGTGACAATTTTCGGGACGTTCTAATCAAAGATGTTTCTTCTGTATCAAAAACCAGTCACACTTTTGCCTTTTCATATAATTTTAATGGCAGCTCTAATCTGTGAACTGCAATTTAAAAAATACGGATTTAAAATAAACCAGTGAAAAAGAAGTATTATTTCCACGTTTGGTGCTGTAATGCAACAACGTTCGATTATACAATCTTTATTGCAAAACAAATTTTAACCAAATGGTCAGCTTTGCACAGTCAAATAGAACATAGTCAATTCTCCTTAAGCCTCAAAATAATCTATGAAAAATTTTGACGGAAGCCGAAAGATAACAATGGACATCTAATGATGCAAAATAGATGCATTGTATGCAATTTAGCCTCAGGTTACCACACAGGAAGCGGCCAATATGTACTATCTAGATTGTTGTATCTCGTTAAATTTAAAACTTCCTCCCTTGATGAAAGGCGACAACAGAGAAAAAGCAATATCGAGGTGTACTACAAAGTAAAGGCAAAAATAAGCATCACAATTTTCCCAAAACACAAAATTAAAATTTTAGAAGACGTATCGGAAACTTTAAACCTGTTTAACTTACTGAATTTGAATGTATCATTTGTAAAATGAAAAATTGGCAAGCTGACTGCTTTTTTGATACCAAATCAATACGGGAATTTTCTTGTGGAGAACTTGAAGGTAATCACCAACAACGCTGAATTTAATGAAATCGACAACCTTTGCTGATCAAAGGGACTTCATCAATCAAGGCTTTAAACTCTAAATATGAGAAGCCTTCAGTCGCTAATGATGTGCAACATTTAAAGGTAGTTTGCAATTACACATTAAAATTTTCAAGCAACTGCTAACAAAAAAGAGCAACTTTTAGTGTTAAGAATAGGGGAAAAATGTCCGTTTTTCTCAATTATAAAAAAAATCGTTGTTAAATTGATCGAATAAGCAGGAAAGGAAATTACGTCACTTAAATTTTATCTACAAAATTTAATCAATTTTTCCCCACTACAAAGTGCTATGTTAAAAATGCGGACTAGCAATTACTTTAAAAAGCTACCGAAAAATGTAGCAAAAATATGTCAGACTAATACGAAATGTAAGTTCAATTTCACAAATTACTACGGCTATTAGTTCATTGGCTTTTTTGTTTTGCTTGGAAGTGACCTTTTGAAGTGTAAGTCCGTTTGCTGTGCAGTAGCTCAAAATGTTCTGTCTACAACGATTCAAGAAATTCAAAAATCCGAAAAAAAAAGTAGAAAAATTGATTTAAAAAAAATTGTCCAATATTCTTTTGATTTTTTATGAAAAGACAATTAAATTAGTCACAAACTTGAGGTCATGGCCATTAAATTACAATGTTTGCAATGGTGGTAGTTCAAGGTAGATATTGTGGAAATTGACATCATAATGTCCAATATATTTAGCTGTAACTTTTTGAAGTTTTCAATACATGAAAAAAAAACGAACAACTTACAGCAGAACTAAAAATGAAAAAATGATCATTATTATATTTAGAAACTCATCTAGATAACGAGATTAATTAGATTTATCCATATGAGGAATGGCCTGTACATATCATTACCAAGTATCAGCCTTTTTCAGTTCTTATTTCAACTTCAGGATAAAGGGTGAAAATAGGAGTTAATTTGAGTATGGTGCATGTATTAAAGTATAATACTTGAGACGGTGAGACGGCCACCTGTTGTAAAATACCACCGCATAAAATTAAAATGGTAAATGGCAAAAAAGACACCAGCAAGCAGTCTCACTGCATTCAACAAAAAACTGAACTCGATCCTCACCTAATAGCTCCGCTAGATTAGATTAAGAATCCGTCAAACTAGCTCTTCACACCAAGCCATTACCCTATTATACACATCCCCTGAAATTCAATTAAGGTCAATTTTGCCGTTTGGTGTTTATGAGTTAAGAAACTATAATATGATTATGCTATTCGTAAAGCTGCGAAACTTCACATGACATAAAAAGTCAGAAGATTGAAGACTGGCGCGACAAATGACCCAATTCCAATCCATCTGAAGTTCTCTTACACCCTAGTCTTTTAATCAATGCGCAAAAAATTCAAACATAAAAGAATTTCGATTGCTGTGTTGTAAGTATCACGTAATGTTCCAACCATTGAAAAATAGAAAAAAAATCTTCGAGATAAAATTTTGTGTGCGCAAGTATGGGAAGAGGGAGCGACTGACTAACCGAAGTCCTAGTTTTGAACTGCATTAACCTCTAAAAACAAATTTATAAAAAAAATCTTTACTGAGTCTCTTTACTGGCATAAACGCAGTGAACTGCCATCGATGCGTTGTTCAAATTCAACTTTACGCTCTTAATTGGTCTGATAATCAAAAATATTCGGACTATTCTCTTCACTACCACAAACTACATTTTTTGCAGATATTTCACTCAACCGAGATGATAGCAGAAGGGCTAGCTGGATCTGCGTGGAAAAAAAACCCAAATTTCCTCCATTTCATCGGCCTTTGGAAAACTATGAACAACTAATTGCTATGCATGGCATGCACCACAGATTGTTTTCAGCAGAGTCACCTTAACTTTGAAAATTTGAAACCAAAACGAAAAGTTTGGGATACTAGCAAAATGGGTGGCACATTTTTTCGAATCAGTTTGTTGGGGTGCACGGTTGATGGCTAAAGTTATCCAAGCCAGAAATTTTATTATGTCCACATATTTTTACTTTCAAATATTGGAGATTTGCACTTGTCGATCGATCACGGGTATCCGACGTGGACTAGAAAATGGACATATTTGCTAGAAACAGGGATGTTTCAACCTTATTTCTAAGCGACTACAATTCAAACAAGGATATAGCGACCATAGTAAAAAAAATACAAAAAAAAGTTTTTTTTTCAAATGAGTGTCGTTTTTTCTGCGTGATGTGATAAAACGATTAGAAAAAAAACTTCGGCATATTCGAAAGTCACAGAGAAACAGGCTACCAATTGGAAAACAATTTCTGTAGAAAAATGATTAGAGGAACAAAAAAAATCGTAGAAAAAGTATTCGAATTTTTTGCGGAAATTTTTTGAATTTAAGTTTTGATTCTCAAAATGGCGCTACAAAAATCCAAAAAACTAAGTTTACTCGAGTAAAACTAAGTTTTTACAGCTACAGTTAAGCATAAATGAGCTATTTTAAGCCTGCATGCACACATTATTAGCTCGAAATTAGACCTTAAATCAAAAAATTCAAACCGGTTTTTCTTGACATTTCAAACCAATTTGTAAATTTCATTCGAGTGACGAATGAAAGGGGCTTTAATTTGTTACATCATTCAACCCATTCCAATGATGTTTTTTTTACTTGATTTTGCGTGGAAAAAACAAAAGAAAACTCTCAAACTCTCAGGAATACACAGGTACTAAAACTCTCAGGAATACACAGTTCCTCTCCATTTTGAATGGTCTTAAATAGTTTAAGGAAATCAAAGAACTCAAAATTGGACTAATCTTGAATAAAACGACGCTCGCAAGGCTAGTGCACAAAAATAATAGACGAATTTGCTTCACGGCTCAATAACAGAAAATGCTGCAAACTTGCGTCCGTGACTTTTTCAAATAAGAGGCAAAGCTGCACTTTGCTTACACACGCAAAAAAAGACAAAAAGTAGCTCTAAAATGTAAAAAAAAATGAAATTAATTATAAGAAACATAAAACAAAAAGTTGATCTTCGAGCCAGAATCGAGCCCCTGGCCTGAAAATTTGGAGCCTCGCCACTTTGGCTTGGAAAAAAACAATACACAAATAGCCACCAATAAAACTCCTGCATATGCTAGTAAAATGTCCTTGAAACAAAAGCAACTGCTGCTATGTGCCGACATCAAACCTCCGACTCAAGATTGGGTGCCTCACATCTGCGCTAAGATAGCCTGAAAGTATTCGAACTCAAGCTAACGATAACGCAGCTACAGATGCTATGCTATTAAATTGGCGATGCTATGCATTGAAGTAAAAATGACACCAAAAATGAACTGTTATTTGCGAGTTAAATTTTTAAAAAAGTAACTTGGTAATATGAAACTACGCCCGCTAGCTGGCATGTGTAATTAATCAATTTTAACCTTACCTATCCCGTTACTGAAACTTTCTCAATTTTTTGTGCTGTCAAATTTACTGCAAATCCGTCCAATGCTTATTTTAAAATAATCCTGCAGAAACCCACCACAATGACCCGAAATCTGAACCGTTAAAAACCGTATCCATTTGATGCTCGAGCAAATTCAATTTTTCAAACTAAAAGCTGAGCACGCGATCAGAGCACGGCAATCTAGCTTTACAAAACAATAGAAAAAACGCAAAAATATTGAAAAAAATAGATGTACGACGTATCACGATTTTCCTTGAATGAAATTCATTTTGACGAAAAGCTTCAAGAAAGAAGACAAGTGTCAGCGTAAAACTACCACGGAAAAAAGAACCACAGCAATAACTAATCCGACAAAATTATGGTAGAAGCTCGTTAAGTAAAAAAAAACTGATTCCAGAGGCCTTAGCAATCAAAAAAATTTGAGATGAGATCTAATTTAGAATAAAAACTATCATCATGAAAAAATATTTTTTCCCGGAAACGGCGCAAAATGGGACAACTGAGCCGATGTAACATAAGGTAGAACATGTTTAGCCTAATAACACATGTCATTAAAAAACGGCGAAAATGTACAAGATCGGAGTTGGTAAATCTAGAATCAGGATTGCAAACTTTGAAAAGAGGGGGTATTTGTTAAAAGAATGCTCAAATTATGTCTGTTGGTGAGCAGTTGTGTTCGTCTGGGAGCAGTTGTGTTCGTCTGGGAGCAGTTGTGCTCGAGGCAAAAAGTCTAGTAGTACCCTGTTGAATACACGTGCTATCGCAAATACAGTTATTATTGTCATTGCATTGTTGATTTTTAATAACTTTCAAAAGAAATATCTATTCGAATATCATCAGTAAACCTCATATATTTACACAGTTTTTGTCCGCACGTTCTCACAAAAATTATCTAGAATTTACCCTGATACATTGGCTACTTTATCATCGCTTTTGTTCTGACTTGTCAAAAAGTGAAAACAAAATATGCCCTAAGACGCCCGTTCTTTCAAAAGATTTCAAAAGCATCAAATAACATCATTGCGTATGACATCTATTATGACAGAAAAAAGCTTTGAATTTCGAGAAAACTGGTCTAAATTTTATGCTCTTCAACTGATTGAAGGCGATTTATCCACTAGGGAAAGGACCAACATACGAGCTGTTCAGCTCTTCGCGGAAAACCGCAGTTGTGTCCCTGGTTAAGATTTACATGCATTTTTTTGGCTATTTGTCTGGGCTGGGTAATGTTGCTTCACCCTCAAGCAACGAGCACCGCTTTGCAGCGCAGGAGTGGATAAAGTAATATTCAGTAGCAACATTAGAAACCAATCTGTTCTTCGATCAATTTTTATTACATCGCATCTATTTTCATTGAACTTGCTTACAGCTTAACAACTATCCAAACCAGCTACTTAAAAACTGCAGAGACTTCTCCTTTGCTTCATTGTGCAGAGGATTCCAAAGAATTATCGGTTTTTCGAATCAAAAGGTAAGAGCACTTTTCATTTCAACTTGACTCGTTAAAGGAGAATGCTTTGATATTAATTCCAATTATCAGCCTTACAAGTGAAACTCATGTACGAAACTGAAAAAAAAAGAGCAAGAAAAGTGGGGAGAAACGTCAAAATATAAATTGAACGGCGAAAGACGTTACTACAATCTGGGAAATCTGAAAATTAAATTCCACTTTCGAAACTAGAAATCAATCACGCTTTTCGTGACCTTTACACTTTCGCTGTTTCATAGTGGAGGTTGCCTTCATGTCAAAAAAAGAAAAGGAAGTGAACTTGAGAAAAAAAAAAACAACAGTCAAACCGCGAAATAGTGAATTTGAACATGAACAAATTTAAAGATTTTTCCTGCAAAAAAAATTATCGCGACCTATATTAGAGTCTGTACTACGTTCATCGAATCTTAATTTTGCACGAAGAAATGTAGAGCTCGTTTCTTCGCTCAAAAAAATTATTTAATTATTTTTCAAACGAACTTATCAAAGACAAATGTCGTCGAAATACTTTTCGCTACTTGCACAGCAACTAGCTATACTTATGGTGGGTCGAAAGATTTCTACCCTTATAATGACTCCTACTAAATTGAGACGATAATTGACTAAATAGAGCTTTTGGCCAGTCAGTAAAAATAAATAAACCTGAAATAATAACAACTCGCGTCTTTTCTCCTGCAAAGCAATCACTTCAAAGCTGGTCTTATCTCAAAATTGCAGAATTCACCCTATGGCGATAACTGTATTAAGTCAGTTGAGTTGATTTAGATGGGAACATTCGATTATTTTCCAACTGGTAAAATCCCCAGTTGGTTTCAAACTGGTGGGAGGATTGAGGCAGATTATAAAGGAGTCTGCAGGGAGATGGAAAAATTGAAGGACTATCTAAACTTTCATCAGGTTGAACTCGATCGATAATTGAAGCAACCCGGTATTGACTAAATGAGCATTTTCTGTCTGCTGATGAAAAATAAAATAGTCTGATCTCTTCAGTGTTATAATATGAATAACTACTGAATGTCGAGTTAAACGCAAGTGTTTCGCATTTCCATGACAATCAACCCGATTCTGCTCTACCATAAGCCATTCTAATCAATACTGGCATTCTACATTACAATGACGTGAAATTTTCATAATATAAAACAAGTTGCAAAAGCGTCAATGAACTAGAGGAAAGCAGAAAAACTGATCACTTTTTGAATTTTGAGGGAAAAATGGATCACGCTCTCTAAATTTCAAGAATCCTTTAAGACCACTTTTTCGTAAAACTAGCCCAATTAGAGAACTTTTTGCATCAATAGGAAAAACTTATAATATAAAACTTAATTATGAAAACCCAATTTCGAAATCTAAAGTCATTCCACGTTTTTTCGTACCTTTTCCGCTTTCGTATTTTGCATGCCGCAAAGCAACTAGAATTAAATTAATTTTAAAAAACATAGCTAATAGACAATTGGAAAAAAAATCATGAACTCAAGAAACAGAAAAAAACTGACTGCTTGAAAATTTCAAATAACAAACAATATTAGGGCTTTTTGAATTTCAAAAACGATTTATACTTGACGCTTTTTTGAAAAAAAATTAACCCAATTCGAGAAACCCACTTTCGAAACTAGATGTCGATGACGTTTTTCTCAACTTTTACACTTCGATAGTTAAGTTTGCCTTCCTTTTAACAAAGGAATTGAACTAAACTTGAAAAGAAATCAAAAGTCAAACAGCTAAAAATCAGATTTGAAAAAAAAATTTAAAAAAAAAATGCCTATATAAGAGTATTCGCACCTGTCATGCACTAATTAAGTCAAATCAACAAAATTCAAACTTGAGTTACTACGTTCACTGTGCTTGACACATTTCTTCCCTCCATAAAAAGTGTCAGTCCTCCAACAAAGTGGTAAAACCAAAAAACATATCTTTGGCGAATAAAAAAGCAAGCAAAAATATATTACAAAAGAAGCTTTGAAACAGAATATAATGTTTCACACAGTTTAAGCTGCACTTCACACACAAGCAAGAATACTATTAAAAGTAGCTACGAAAAGACAGCGAGAAATTAGGAAAGAAAAGGCTAAAATTAGCTTTGATAAAATCCTGCGATCTGCCGGAATTGAAGCATCTACAATGAGTTTACGCGTCTACAGTCCCCTGATCTCAGCGATAAGCGCTTGCACTAAAAAAACTTGAACAAAAAAAGCGTATCGAACACATGTTATTAAACTGAGGATCAACCGTACAATCTCCGCCCATATGTGATCTACCATAGAACGCCCTCCCCAAGCATGTATCAAATCTTGAAAAAAAATCTGTTTAAAGCATTTATTTCATACAAACAAACAAAAAAAAATTGGTTCGTTCATTTTTATGCGGGATTGCGTTTGTCTGCTATTAATTACTCAACTTAATCTTTAAATTCAATTTTTTTAGTAATGGGGTTTATTTTGAACGAATATAGGCTATACTCAAAGTTAGCTTATGAATATTCCTTATTTTCTCTCCCCTAAATCAATTGGGGGGGGGGGGGAGGGGGGGGGGGGGGGCTTGAACTTCGTGATTTTACAGCGTATTTTGAATTCCTTTTATAGAACGATAGATAAGAAAAAGTCGAAACAAGCCTCGAATTGGTAAAAATTCGGCTAAGTTTCGAATTGGACCTACTAACCACGGACGCTTAAAAAATAAAAAATACTAGCCACAAATAATGCAGAGCGGTTGTTATGAAATTTCCAATATGCAAATCATAATTATAGCAAGAGTGTAACCAAATATTGCACTTTGCGACCAATTAATGAACACTTTTATTTGTGAGTTAGGTTAGAAAAACAGAAGGTCCGAACTATCACACTAATGCTCGCAAGCTTAAAAAAATTTCACACTTCAAGCTATAATTTACAAATTGCTGAAAACTGCCACTTTTGTTCAGCTTAAATCAAAGATGCTTAGTTGAAACGAAAGAACAGTCATTGATGAAAACTTGGAAATCAACTTTTTAGGCTGAACTACTCAATTATTTATTTCCTGAACTTGTGTAAAAAGTAGCGTTAGATACTGAATTTGATTACGCAAACAAAAACTTTGAAATTGCTAATCAAGGGTTTGTGATAACTATACACAGCTTCACTTACGTCAAGTGACAAACGTATCTCGGGTGAACAAAATATAAGATCTATTTTAGTATTGCCTATTTTAGTTATGAGTGTCTAAAAATGATGACTATCAAAAGACAACATGAAAGTTACAAAAGAAAAGTTTGAGAAAATATCAACATTGAAACCCGAAAAAAGCACAATTTGTTTTCCCAGCCACTGCTAAATCATAATTTCGGTCAAAGAAGCTTTAAAAGCAACCAATGATGTAACTGAAGCTCTTCTATGTACGGAAAGTAGATAACAATCTAGCACTGTGTGTTGTAATACAACGAAACTAGCATTTTTTTTTTACAATTTCTGAAAACAGTTTCTGAGATCTTGGGTATCGTGAACAACAAATCCAGCATGTGGTCTAAACTGCAAAGCAAAACCTGGAGTTTCAAAACTGTTGTTATCGTCAGTTGGAATTAGCCATAATTCAGAGAAAATCAAAATTTCAGATGTCTTGACAAAGGGTTGGCGAGAAGCAAGGTGAACGTTAAAGTTTTTGGCAGCCTCTAAACATTCTGAAGGAGTATTTGTACTTTCGAAATTTTGGGTACACTTGCGAGAACACGGTCAAAAAGCGGCTCTATCAAGTGAATAAGAAAAATAGAAATAAGCCTCGAATTAGCAAAAACTCGGCAACGTACAAACACTAGTCACAAATAAAGCAGCTTCATATTCTAATAAATAGCCAATGCGATTCAGCAAAAATGGAACCAAATACAAATAGACACAACTTTGCAAGTAATAATTTGGAATATAACAAACTGAAGGCATCCACACTGAGTTTGCAAGTAACAAATCGGAAAGCATAAAGCCACATTATGTATAAATTATGCATTTAAAAAAATTGCGAGATAAATTGTGTTAGAAAATTTCTGAAATCGAGTTTTCATTATTGTTATATTGTTTGAAACAAATCACTTTTTTCTATTCATTTGATGAATAACTTATTACTATTCGAATGTCAAAGCATAAGCTATGAAAAAGCTATAAAGGTGCCCTAAAAGCGGTACCAATAATTGCGACTTAGGTAGAAAAAAGAAGGTTCGGACTAATACCCTCGCTTCGCAAGTGTAAATAATTTTTCAATCGATTATAATTTGTATCTGAACCGGGAGTTTTCATACTGAGGCGTGAAATCATTCATTTAAAAAAAAAGCTTCAGGATTTAATTTATACCAATAATCTACAACAATATTTCCGACTTAGGTTGGAAAAAGAGAGAGTTCATACTATAACACAAGCTTTGCTTGTGTAAAAAGACGAAGTGAACTTCGAAAAAATAATCCATTTTGAGAGTGACGATTTTTCCTACCTAAACGCAAAAAAGTCAACACGACCTATAAAAGTGCCTTCATTACGTTTATTGACACTTACAAAATGAATTTCAATGAAAATCTGCAAACATCTTATAAGTTAACGCTCCGATAAAACAAATTTAAACTAATGTGTTTTTACTAATTTATAGTTCCGCTTCAACTTCAATAAACAAATTCATTTATGTACAAATAAATTAGCATCAGATATTAGCATAAAATAAATTCAAGTAAATCGATCTAGATCAATCTAACTCTGCATTTTTCTAAGCTAGTTTCAAAAAGAGGATTTAACTACTGATAGAATCACATCGCAAGAATAAATGAAAACCGAATCAAAAATTCGGTTCGGAGTCGTTATTAGTAACTAAAGATTTTAAGATAAGATTTTTATTAAAACATATTTTCGGAGCTTGGCAACTCTGATGAAAGATTCCATTTCGAAATTCATCTCCTTGAACTACTTGGTAGATTTTCTGGAATCGAAAGACTTTCTAATTGATGAAACCTTTCATCTTGTTCATTATGCGAAAACTCACTCTGCGATTCGTCATCTTCTTGCATTTGACATTTCATATATTGTGTCAATATTTTCTCGGTCAAAATAGCCTTGCGCTCAATTAGCCCATCAAGTTCTTCTTTTTTAACATGAAGAGCACGCATTAGTTCATCTGGGTTTGCCTTCAAATATGCCATTCGTGTTTTCAAATCGTCGTCTCGTTTCTTGAGTGCCAGTTGTTTCTGATAGTAGCTCTGGGCTGTTAAGTGTTCGGTAACAGCTTTTCGCACACGTTCTTCTTTCTCTGAAAAAAGTGAAGCTTATAAAAAAAGGATCAGACTTCTTACACGTTTTACAAAATTGTTCTTTGTCTGACATGTAACGCAAAGTGGATATATTCAAGAGGATACTTTCTCTGTGATATTCGCAAAAATTTACTAAATCAGAAGTTGAACAAACATATAAGATCTGAAACATGCAAAAAAACTGTAATGATCCACAATATCAAGGATTTACAGAGGCAAAGTTGCACTTCGCATGCACAAGCAGAAATATGACCGATAACGCTACTGGGAAAAACTGAATGAGTAAAAGTTTGAGTCTACAAAATTTCTTAAGTGACGCTCGCCAATTATGAGTCTACATAATTTGTAAGTGACGCAAGCCAATTATGACGCAATAGCAGTACCAGTCAATTTGAAAAAAAAAATACCAACTTACATGGCTCAATTTATAAAGCGGTCGCAGTTTAACTAGTATACGAAAAAGTTCATCAAAAACATTTGACCCTTCCCAGGTTCGAACCCTCTTGTTTTGTTGCGGGTCTCCTTCCCTACTTCTACGCTACAGATCCATGATACCTTGAAGCTAAAGTGATATTTTTAATATAATAGTCTGTGTTAATATCCTTAGCTTTGGCTTTACTTAATAGCTGGTTATTGATCAAAATGAACCCATTTTGCGGCAACAATATTTTCGTCGCTAGAATTAAACATGCATCTATGTTAACACCGAGAAACTTGATTGATTCAGATATTTTGACCTGGTACTTTCCTACTTGCAGCTTGAAGTTTTCTATGAGTTTCTTTTTTTGATGGAGCAGAGAAATTGATCAACTGAGTTTTGTCTACATATATCAATCGGTGGTTTAAATTAAAATATGAGAGTATTCTGTTGAAACTGGATTCAATTATTTGTGTTGCGAATAACGGATTTGAATGAAACTTAGCAGTGCTGTATCATCTGCAAACTGCTCGTTGCTTGAGGGTGAAGCAACATAACCCAGCCCAGAAAAATAACCAAAAAAATTGCATGTAGTTCTTAAACAGGGGCACAACAGCGGTTCGCCGTGATGAGCTGTACAGCTCTTGTGTTGGTCCTTTCCCCCGTGGATAAATGGTCTTAAATAATTACAGGAGTACATGACTTGTCTAGAATTTCTGGCATATCATTAAAAAGAGGTTGAAAAAAGAGTTCATACTATCACACAAGCTTTGCTCACATAAAAATGTAATATAAACTAAAACACTCATTGGATAGGTTAGCGAAAAGTGACCATATTTTCACTAACGATATGCGTCGACAAGTCCGAATTCCTGAAGAAGTACTTTGAGAGCCTGTTCCTGATCTCTCTGCTGTTTGTTCATCTCCACTTTATCCTGCAGTTCCTTGTTCACACTCTCAAACGTCAACCGGAGACCACTTAAACAAATCACAATGTTTTTCAAGATCAATGAGCCCCTGTGCAATGTTCAAAATTTAGGAGTGCAGCCAGTATTTAGACAGCCGCGTATTCATACTGGTCAGTATTTAGACAAATACTGTTTGAACCAATCAGAATCGAGAAGACATAAATAATCCAAAATAAATCATAATTATTTATTAATTTCTTCTTTGTCTCGATTCTGATTGGTTGAAACAGTATTTGTCTTAATACTGACCAGTCTGAATACGCGGTTGTCTAAATACTGACATGTAACCAAAATTTATATGTGATTTTCTCATTATAGAAACATGGTTTAGTTATTTTACACATGAATCGATTTTATGCACGCACATTAAGGATTGTGCCGCCTGACTACAAAAAAGTCTGGTACTCATTTTCGACATCCTTATTTGGCATTCAATCTTCACATTTTTCCGCGCTCTCTAATTGAGGGCCCATTCAAGTGCTGAAAAAAAGCACTTTTTGGTCAAACCGCCATTTTGGCCTGCTTTGTTTAAAAAATCCCCGGCCTCAAAAATTCTCCTGCATTCTTTTTTTTTTAAAAATACCCTACATCAAAAATTTTCCTGCATTCTCTTTTTAAAAAAAATCGCCTGCATCAAAAATTCCCCTGCATTTTTTTTTTTCATAAATACGCCCGCATTCGATAACTTTTTCAGCTACACATCTGCACTTACTGGCAATTGTACGCTTATTGCGAATTTTCATGTAAATAAATCAATCTCGAAAAATAGGAAACAAAATTAACTGACGATCACTGAAAAAGAATTTACAACTTTTGATAGAAAATTGGAGAATTAATCGAGACAACATTAGTATCATTACAATTTACCCGTGTGTGTCGCTGGTTTTGCACTCTCCAACTTGTTCGTTGGGGACTGCCTCAGTGTTCATGATGTAGAAGCACTTGTTGTGGCTGCTGTCAAACTTCACCCGAAAACTCTGCACCTTCTCAATCTCCACACTCATATCACACGATTTGAACGCCTCCACCCACTGCAATAGACAATAGATGCATGAAAAAAAAAAACTTCCTATGTTTAATTGAAGGACAAGAGTGAGTTCAAACAAAAAAATTTAAAAATAGACTTAAATTTGGTTTAATTGAATTATAGTGGTGTAAATTTATTGATTGGTCGCATACCATATACTACATATTTTTCGTCAGAGCACTTTTATAGCATTTTTAAAAATAATTTTTGCTCTATTTGAAATCGGTTGCTAATTGTGATTTCTGCGATTCGCAGAGAATCTATCGAAGGCTATCCAGCCAGTCTAAGAATAATCAGTTAGTCTGAATTCCCCTCGTTCCAGACTAAACATATCTGCTTCCAGGGTAACTTCTTTTTTATGCATTTAAGAGCTTTTTTGCGCTTGGAACTTTCAAGTGTTATCACTAATGCAGCCGAAACTAGTCAGACAGTGGCAGACCTGATACAAGATACCAAGTGAAAGCTCATCTTCCCACACTACCATTGTCATGGCAGGAGGTGGATTACACGATCTGACGCTCTCGAGCTGAACGCTTTCTCTTTATGATAAGTACCTCCAAGATAATGGCACGCACAATAAAAAAAAACGTCAAAAAGCTCTAAAAAAAATGAGGGTAATGCCAAAAAAGCAGAAGTACACCTTCAACAAACAATGAAATTTCAAAAAAAACAAACCTTCAAAAAAGTTAAAGAATCATTGAGTACAAAAAAACGGACCTTAAAAATCTCGAACACAGTGAGGATCAAATTCGGACCTCTTAATTAGGCCTCACGTGTCGTAATCATTTTCACATGCCCTCATTGATTCGATTTCCTTTGGATCACTTGTGATACAGCACAACCAGAACATGCTTAACTAGACGATCAAAATTGAAACGAAAGCCGCTAAATAAAAACAAAGCCAAATGAAAAATGGAAAAGAGTAAAATTTTGTGAAGTTTTTTATAGCTAAGTTCATTGTAAGTTTTTAAAATGACAGAAAAACGTCACATCTCGGAAATTAAAATCAAACGAGCAGTCGCTTTCGGACGCAAGATTTAGAACTTCTGGGAGTACTCTCAGAGTAGTTGACTACAGGGTTTGGAATGTCAAAATTTGAAGAAAAAAAATTAGAAATCAAGTTTTCTATAAAAAGAACTTTTTTGAAACAACCAAAAATAGCGCCATATCTCGAAAACTACAAAACTTGAGCACTCATGCTTGGAGGCAAGATTTGCAACGCCAGAGAATACTCTGACAGCAACCAACAGGGCTAGCAATTCCAAATTTTGAAAACAGAACTTTAAATTTATGTTTTGAAGTTTTTTTTGAAAAAATCACAAAAAACGCCAATCTGGAAAACTAAAAAGATTTGAGCAGTCATATTTGGACACAAAAACCCTCACAGTACTTAACAACAATAATGGGAATTCTAACTTTCTGCATATTTTTGAATCCAAGTTTTCTGAAAATTATTAAATAAAAATCATAAATAACGTCATATCTCGGAAACAACAACGATATGAGCAGTCATAATTGGAGGCAAGATTACCAAGCGTTATCAAAGCTGAGCATACGACATGTTTTCTAGGTCGAAAACTTGTCTCGCAGAACCACTGCAACATTTTTGCAACTTCGTGAAATCGTCAACAGACATACTTTCAAGCTCTAATTTGACAACATTTGCTTATTGCAATCGGAATAAAACTAAATTCAGAATTCGAAACCTTATTAAAAAATTTAAGTTTCCTGTGATTGAGTTAAAAATACAGAGGCAAAGCTGAGCTTCCCAAACACAAGCGAGAAAACGACAAAGAGCAGCTCTAAAAAATAAGCCTCAAATTAGTGTAAAAACTTTGCGTCGGATTAGAAAAACGAATATAAATAAAACAAGTGCAGCGTTGAAACTCCGAGAAGTAGCTTAGGAATCTCATATCGTTCCCCCTGAGCCACGAACGCTTAAAAACGGCACGCATTAGTCACAAAAAGCAGAGAACACATGGTAAGAAATTTCCATGCTACAAATTGTGATTATACCAAAAGTGCCACCAAATAAGCACTTTTAGTTGCATGCGAGTTTGGTTGAAAAAAAAACTACTACGCTCGCTTGTTTAAATGACAATAGTGAAGGTTGAAGCCGAGGCATGGAGAGAGCAAACAAATCTATCAAAATTCATACAAAGCCGGATCTTGTATTTCACGGCCGTTCATCATACAAACCTCATCCAATTCTTCTAATATGTCCAGTGGAGCAAGTCGGTCTTTGGCACTTCTGCATGTACATCTATCGTAAAGACGTCTCACTCTGGGGTTACAGTCATTGGCAAATCCCCTGGCCTCAATGTCTCCCGGACTACGATCTATCATGGCGAAGAATACCTTGCCGAAACTGAAAAAAAAAATACTTGAAAACAACCTTCTCACACAATTTGAAATAACTTACTTGAAAAAATCTGACTTGGATTGTATACAGTTTCAGTATCATGTGTTCAAAACCCTATTCTGAACTACAAATAGGTCTAAAACGATTAACAGACAGCGCTTTACTCTAGGCTAGAAAATCTTTATAGCAGTTCGAAGCACGACTGAAAATTCTAAAAAAATATATATATATTTTATTCTGCCGGTTATTTGTCACATCTGTGGTTCTTCTATCATGCCCCTACATGCCATTTTTATACTTCTACCTTTTGTTCACGTAGTCCAATTCTTATTATGCGACTTCGAAAACCGATATTTACTCCGTAAAATCATGTTTATATATGGCAGGGAAAAACGGTAGAGCAGGACTTATTTTGTGAAAAAAAACTCTTACATAGTTTCTGGTCGAAACAAAAAGCCAAATACGATTTTCTTTTTACAATCTTGAGCTCATTGACACATTCAATTATATCAGCACCATGCCTCACCAACCTGAAAACATCCAAGGCGGGACTGATAACCTCAGACGAATTAGGAGAAGAATATTCCAACTCAGGGGCCATGAACCCAGATGACCCTCTGCATGACTGTGTCTGGTTCTTCATGAAGGTAGAAGAGTTGAAGTCTGTGATCTTACACGTATAGAAATTGAACACTTCTCCGTCTATTGTCTTCGGAAACATGAGGATGTTTTCCGGCTGAAACACAATATAAAAATTGATTTACTATTCACAAATCTTTGAGCAGACACAAGTTCAGCTGAAAAAATATAATTTCATAAACAATCTTCACAGTTATAAGTCCCACCTCAGACTAGAATGAACAAAACTTGTACTTTCAACTGCAAGAATGAGGAATAAGAAAAGAAAAATCAAGAAAACAACTACAAGAAAAAAAATCAGTGATGCTGCAACTAAGCAGACAAACACCTGTTGAGCCGAAAAAAATTGATTTATAATTAATTTAAAAAATCTCAAGTCCACCTCCCTGGACCTACAAAGAACAACACTTGAAAACGGATCAATGCCCGAAAACCGATCAAAATTAGCTAGATGTAAAAACATACTAATAACTTTTTTATCAGAGAACAGAAAACAGAAAACGTGATTTCACTAGTTTCTTATTTTCTTGAAACTACCCAAAATTGGAGAAACTCAACAAATGCATTAGGAAACAAAGCAGACAGCAACAATGAAAACGTATAATAAAACAATAAGACAGTCTAGTACACTTTTTAGCAATCTTCTAACAAAGTCAACTAAGTTTTTTTACCGTTAGAAGCAGGAACAGAATTAACAATTCCCGAGAAGGGTGGATTTACCAAATTTTCGAAAACCTTTGAAGTTTTTTTAGGTCGATCGATTTAACTGAGGTATTATTGGATTTGTAAAAAGTTTGCTGGCCCCTGATACAATCGCGGGTCTTATTTCTTTCGCACCCGCGATGGAAATTAGCCTAAAATTTGTAACAGTTAGGATCTTTTTGACCCTCGTACCGTCACAACTTCAAGTTGTCTTAAAATTGTCCATTCTTTAATTTAAACAGAAATGATGCAATACTTTTGTCCATACTTGAATTTAAACAGAAATGTCGCAATACTTTGTATCTGCTCACGCTAACATCTTAAATTTAAGTTTAAAAGGTCTATCTTAATCAAAGTTCAGAAAGTCAAAGAAGAGAACTGAAAAAGAGTCAACCATTATTAATGTCTAGCACCATTTTCATTGATAAACAGCCATCAGACCTTAACCCTCTTTGAAATTCAAGACGAATAAATGATTGACATTTTTTGCTAAAATTATTTCCATTTGAGAAAACTGAATTAATAGGTAAGCTTTTGAGGCTTTCCCATTATAGCCACTCGAGCCTATTATCAAAAAATTATAGCCCATCCAGTTCGTCAATTCTCAATTGACTTAAAAACAATTCTTGTGCTTTCATTCGTTAAGGCATTCATACAAAACTACATCCAATTTTGGTTTTTACTGAACTTAGCTCGGCATAGACTTACCAGTATGCATGAATAACAAAATATGCATATGATATTTCAATATCTTTGTTTATTTTTTGTTTAAACTTTTTACTGGAGGTTTCAGAACATTTTCCTGAAAAAAAAATTACCAAAAAAAACTACCAAGACCTATTTAAGAGTCCTTGCTACGTTCAATTTCTCGCTTCGCTCACCTAACACAATATCAGTGACTGCATTGACCAAAAGGGTAGTTTTCGAGAATATTCAAAAAGTTTAAAAAAGGTCAAAAAATAAAAAATTTGACTTTTGTGGGAGCAATGACTTTTTGCGTTAAAAAACGCTTTGTGAGTGGCAGCTAATGCAGGCGAACTTCACAAAACTTGTTATCTCCATTGAAAGCTTGAAAAGGAAATACGGCGCGATAACACACGAAAAATAGGTCTAAGCATTAACAAGGGTTTGTAAAAAGATGGCTGTTAAATACTCAATTGACTGTATTCTAGTTCGCATAAATAAGAGAGTGAACTAGAGGTCAACACATAACAGCTAGACAGCTTTTAGTTGATTGACAGGCAGGTACCAAACTCACACTTAATTAAAGTATGAGAAATAAAGAATAGCAACTAGGATGATTGACAACTAGGATGATTGACAACTGAACATATTGTAGCCCCTGACATTTCCGTATGGATGTAAAATTTAAATACATAATTTAAATTTAAATATAATAACTACACCTTCAACCTGCCGCCTCAACTATAATACAACAAACACTTGAGTTTTAACAACTTGAGTTTTAGGCTTATGGCCATCCCTCTCCCTGGGTTAACGAGTTTTTGAATAAATGTAGAAATAAGATTCATTTCCCTTCTCCCCCTGGATGTTTTCCTGTTTGTTCCGCCCCCTGGATAGTTTCGATCATAACTCCTCCCATTTTGTCTACTGGCTTTCTCCTTCTAGTACTCCTTCTGGTTCCCGAGCTTTCACTTTGACTGCCTGATTCAACGTCTTCTTCTTGACTACTATTTACAAGACACTCCCGCGCCACTAACGCTGGACGTTCCTGGCTTTCCTTCGCTTGTTTTCTTTGGCCCCCTTTTCCTCGCTTAGCTCTTGTCACTCTCGATTTGGCTTTAGCTCCCGTTCCTCCTTCCATTACTGTCGTACTGCCGCTTGGGCCTTGTCCCGCCGCAATTGCTTCGCGTCTCGCTAGCATTTCTACCGGTAGTCTTGCCGGAATGTTCAATGGCTGATCGTCTTCAGTATCCGAACTGTCGGACTCGAAGGTGGCTACTTGTACCGTCTGCGTAGTCTTAGCTCTTTTTGATTTCGGGCTCACGACTGCCCCTTTCTTTGCGCTCGCTAGCATATCCTTGAGCGTAGCCGGTTTCCGTTTCTTGGGAAGGTCAGGTTTCGGTTTTGATGCCACTGCACTTTTCCTAAGAACGGATCCGTTTTTAAGTTTTAAAGTATGTTCGGATTCAGAGATTACATTGGATTTTAGTAATTTATACCAATTTAGGGTCTTGCTGGTAGTACGCTGGTATAGGGTGCGTCCTCCTCCACTCCCCTGGATGTTAGGGCCAGTGTTTCCACTTCCTTGGATTTGTGGTCCAACTTCCGATCCCTCCCTTGGACAAGCGTCCATTTGTTGGTCACTATCCAGCGTGATAGGGGCCCTTCGCAAAGTTGGAGCGTATGTTAGATCCGACTTCTCCTCCCAATTCGAATGCTGAGGGAATGCAACTTTACTCATCTCAGGATCAGTTTCGTCTAAACACAAACATTTTTGTTTTAAGACGTTCTTCCAATTCAAGTTTTTCAAACTTGGTTTTTTCGTAAGGTTTCGTAAAACGGTATTGGCCTCCCTGCCGTGGTGAGCTTCAAAAGGTGTTAATTTAGTAGTTGCATTTTTTGAGAATCGTAGAGCGCCTAGCGCTTTATCGACCATAGATTCTAGAGACTTATGTTCTTTTTCTGTCGCATATGTTAAGACAAAATTCTTCAAACTTCCTATTGTCCGTTCAACGGACCCTGTGCCTCGATGATCATTCACTGGGGAGTATATTAGCTCGATGCCTTCTTCGTTACAGAAGCTTTTAAATTTATTAGAAGTAAAACATGATCCCTGATCAACGTGGATCTTCCGAGGTACTCCATGATGCGATATGTACTTATTAAGGAATTTTAAGACCTTATCTGACGTATTAGTGGTAGTAACCATTGCTGACGGCCACCTTGAGAATCGGTCCGTAGCAACCAAAACGTATTTCTTACTTTCGTTCAAGTAATTTATCGGCCCCCAGAAATCCAACTGTAAACATTCATTGGGTTCCCTTGGTTCTGGGACCTTGCCCATGTCTCCCTTGGGTAATAACGGTTTTAGATTTTTACCCGCTTCCGTGCATTGCTGACAGTACGTGGCCTTTGCTGCCAAACTGCGGTACATGTAAGGATACCAGACGTCACGCGCTGCTTCGAACATATTTCTTTTACCGTGATGGTAATAGTGTATCCGCGATTCAACTGGGACTTGCAAAGGTAAAGGGATGACCAACCGTCCATCCAACCACACACAATCGTCCCGTAACGACAGATCGTTAGCGTATTGAGCCCAGTACTTCCCAATCTTCAGGAGTTCTTCTTTCAAGTTTGTCTTCTTCTCCAATGCTTCTTTTACTCGTACTAAGTTCACGTCCGCTGGTATGTTCGAGGCAACAAATTCTAAATTAAAAAGTTCTGGTAACGATTGAGACTTCTTGATAACCTTGCAATCACGGGGAATGATGGACATAATTTGCTGATTCGGATTAACAGTAGGAAAAAGCTCGCCTGGAAATTTCGAAGGTATGGAAAGTACTGTATTAATTTTGGAATCCCGTGTTTTTAGTAATTGCAACAATTTCAGGGTTAATGACAGTTATTTCGTCGCAACTCAATAAATTTTCATCTAATCTAAGCGGAGAGTTGATCTGAGGTTGTAGTATATTCGGATTGTTAGTTTGGGAATCAATTGTATCGTTTTCAACATTTTCAATTTCAAATACTGGGAAAGAACAATTAGAGTCGCTATCCATTTTGTTTGAGTGTTTGGATGTAGGCAAATTTAACCGTCTTCCAAGGGAACAATATATAGAGCACACTGAATGTCCCTTGGATTTCTTTGATTTACGCGTTATGCAAATTGATCGTTTCCTATTGGTCGTTGTCTTCACGCATGACTTTCCGCCCTCAACCGTCGCTGGTTGTATGCATGTTATTCGTTCTCGCTTGTGATTGGATGAAAACCGTCTAGACTGTTTAGAACCAGTTTCCCGAATATTCTGATAATTTCGTTAACCAAGGGGTTTTAATTCATTTGTAAAACCAAGGGATTTTCTGATCGAAGCGATTTTTGCCACGGTGAACAAATTATCATATTGACTTATCGGTTTAGGGGGTTCGCTAGGATGCCTCGACAAATAATCTGCCAATCCAATCTTGGCGCCCGGTTTGTGTTCTATTACAAAGTCAAGGAATCAGTCTGTCCAGCCAACGTGTCAGTCTTGAAAAAAGTGTTTTGTTTTTCTTGTTATTCCCGTTAAGTAATGAAATTAAAGCCTTATGATCGGTAATGACTGTAAATGATCTCCCTAGGATGTAATTTCTGAAATACTCGGCCCCCCATACCACCGCCAGCATCTCAAGCTCGTTAGTGGAATATTTTTTTCTCGGCTGCGTTTAAGAATCGTGATCCAAAAGATATAGGGCGCCACCCTTCTGTACCCAATTGCTCTAAAACCGCTCCAAGGCCATTGTGACTTGCATCGCAAACAACTCTAATGTCCTTATGAATATCAAAGTGTTTTAATTCAACTATGTTCGCTACCCCCATTTTAATATTTTGGAAAGCATTTTCACATTCCGCGGTCCAGTTATATTCGTTCTTCTTGCTGAGGAGTGGCCTTAATGGAGCTGACATCTCCGCTATCGCCGGTAAATATTTATGCAAGCTGTGGATTGAGCCCATAAATGACTTTAATTGCGTGACTGTTTTAGGAGCTTTTAGTGCGTCTATCGACGATGTTTTTCGTTTAAGAGGCGTAACCCCCGTTTCGGTTATACGATGGCCAAGCCACTCGCATTCGCGTTTCGCAAACTCGCATTTTGGTAACTTCAAGGATATGTTTTCGTGGTTTAGTTTCCGGAGGATCTTTTCAACCAAGGAGATATGTTCTACTTCCGTTCCCTTGGTTGTAACCAAAATATCATCAAAAAACGCGTTCGCTTGTGGGAATTCGTTTAAAATTGAGTCCATTACTCGCTGGAACTCTGCCGGCATTGACGTTAGCCCGTAAAACCCTGTTCGGAAGCGGTAAGTTCCTGTCGACCGTCCGCCCACCAAAGAAAAATTACAGTGCACGCTTGTTTCTTCACTAAGCGGTAGTTGCCCATACGCGTACGTTAGGTCCATCGTAGTAAAGTACACTTCCCCTTGTTTTTTCTCGGATATAAGTTGTCCTATTGTATCTACAAGTTCTTCTATATTTGGCATCTGGTATTTGTTTTTATGCACTTGTTTATTAAGCTCTCGTGATTCCAATGCTAATTTTACGGACCCGTCTTTTTTCACGGTGATGACGATCGGAGAAACAAAATATCGATCCGAACACTCTTTCAATTTTTCTATATGTCCCTGGGTTAATAGCTTATCAATTTCTTTGTCCACTTTTTCATGGAGCGTTACCGGCACTCTCCGTCCCTTCTGCTGCACCGGTACAAGATTTTTGAAAAATTCTGCTTGAACTTTGTAGTTCCTAATTTTTCCAACTCTAGTAAAAAGTTTTGGGAATAGCTTACTGAAGTATGATTGCCATTGATCCATCTGCTCATCCTCCGGTTCATCGTGCCCCTCCTTGCATGAATTGTCCTCCGCCCCCTGGATGTTCATGACTTCCCCCCTTGGATCTGCTTGCATCAACTGGAGTCCAAGTTTCCCCATCAAATCACGTCCCACGATGGATGTTCTGGTCCCCCCAATGACTCGGACTTCTGCTGTCGTCTTCCAGCCGTTTGATGCTAACTCGTGTTAGAATGGAAATCGGCGATCCACTGTCGATCCAAATGTTCATCGGGTGCCCATTAATGAATATTTTGAGTTTAGGCCCAGCAACTTTCAACACCGTTTCTTTCTTCCGTCGAATTGCCATAACCATGTAATCGTCTGAACTTTCTGATGACCAGCTGTGGTGTTCTCGTTTAACGAAACCTACTGAATTTGCCGCAGCTTGGGGCTCCACGTCATCCGAGGGGGTATCTTCTTCGTCGAAGAGTTCATCCCCTTGGATCAATTCAACTGGTTGTCCCCCCCTGGATTGTCGTTTTCCACGGCAAGTCCTCTCAAAGTGCCCAATCTTTTTGCAGAAGTTGCATGTGACGGCTCTTGCTGGGCATCGTTGTCGGTGTTCTGGGGTGAAGTTCGGTTGATCGCAGTTGTAACATCTGCGCTCTTGCATTCGATCGTTTGTTCGACCTCCTCCACGATTTGGATATTGACCCCGTCCCCTTGGCATTCCTCGTCCCCTGGATCCGCGAATATTACTGACTGGTTCCGTTTTGATCTGTAGGGAACCCCCTGGCGATGGATGCGCCATTCCCGTGGAACCGGATACGGCGCCCTTGTAGCTCCTTGCGTACTTGTCTCCTCTTTCATATGACATTGCGATTCGCAATGCTTCTTCCGGGGTTTTAGTTTCCCGACACAGCTCGTTCTGTGCGTCCCTGTTCCTCATGTTGAAAATAAATATGTCTCTCACCATTTTCCGCTCCTGGGTGCCCAAATTGCATCTTGCCGCCATTCCGCTAAGTTCTGCATAGAACGATTCTAGACTCTCACCCTCCTTTTGTTTCCTCGACAACTTTTGGTACATCTCGTACGTTTCGTTCCGCTCTTTCTGAAAAAGAGCTACACAGGTATCCAAAAACCGTGGGTATCGTATTGTTTCCATATCTAAGTGTGGATGTTGATTATGCAAGGCTCTCTGTCCCTCATGTCCCAGGCATAAATACAGATTCGATATCAGTGTACGTTCACCTTCTGCCCGTGGTTTTCCACCAATGTCACCCAGGTCTGCGATCTGTGCTTCAGTTAATGTCTATGGAAAGTAGTAGTCTGACGAGACTAGTCCATGTTTCGCCACCATCGCCCAATGAAATCGTTGTTTCCAGTGTTCCCATAAAAGTTGCGGTTCCGCCTGAGTTGGAGGCCAGAAAGCCACAATTCCAAGGGGGTTTTTCCCCCCACCATCCACTGGCTGCGCCATAACAAGGGTTTGTAAAAAGATGGCTGTTAAATACTCAATTGACTGTATTCTAGTTCGCATAAATAAGAGAGTGAACTAGAGGTCAACACATAACAGCTAGACAGCTTTTAGTTGATTGACAGGCAGGTACCAAACTCACACTTAATTAAAGTATGAGAAATAAAGAATAGCAACTAGGATGATTGACAACTAGGATGATTGACAACTGAACATATTGTAGCCCGAACATAATTAGCGAAATTAGCTCAAAATACCTCGGAAAATGCTGTGACTACATTAAAACCTGGTTTTGTCGCAGCTCATTCAAGGTGGCATAACTTTAAGCAGATTATAGCAGAATAACATTCATCAGTTGAACCGTGAGGTTGAATTGTTTCTTGAGAAAACCGTACAACAGATGTCGCGCTCCACACTTAAAATCTGCATCTAAAATGGTCCACACTTCAAATCTGCATCTGAACCGTCCAGTTGAATTGTTTCCTGAGAAAACCGTACAACAGATGTGTCGTAATCCACACATATAGTCCGCATCTTTCATAGCAAAAATTAGCTGACTGAAAACCTTCCATGTATGTACCGAAAAAAAACGTTCAAAAAGTCCTTTAAAAGAAAAAAGCCGGCGAAAAATAATAGATAGAAATTTTTTTAGCAATAGATAAAAAAAACATTAGTACCAAACGAGCACAAAAAAATACTGGCCCAAGTTTTCAATTGTTAGAATATGAGCTAGAAATTTAGTATTTGACAGAAACATTAATTTAAACAGAAACGAAGGTGAACTTCGCAAACAAAAGCGAAAAAAGCCTAGTAGCTTGAAAAGGGGTCAAAAACAAAAAAACTACTGAAATTCGAGAAATACATGTACTCTACGGGAATGGAACCTCAGCACTCAACCATTCAGGTTTTCAAGTTGACTAACCTACTAAATTCTGCCACTAACGCTTATACAAACCAAAGACAAGCGAGTAAGAGACAAAAAAAACTATTTCAAAATGAATAAAAAACCCCAATTTGCTGGTAAAAACTTGGAGTGTATTGAACTAAAAGCAACCAACTAATTTTGCATGTAAAAAAACCAAATTGTGTATAAATTGTGCATTTCACCTATAGATTGATTCGGAAATTTCCTGAAATGAAGTTTTTATTATTGTACTGTTGTATGAAACCAACTGCTTTCTTCGGTTCATTTGGTAAATTAAAAATGCACCAACTGAGTTAACTTAATAGTAGTCAAACACAGAGCTCGTGCCATTAAGTAGCCACTTTTTAACAAGTAGCACTAATCATTGCGACTTAGGATCTCGAAAAAAAGTAGCCTTGTAGTATCACACTACGCCGCGCTTGTGTAACTAATAAATATAAGAATAACTGTTGTTAGCATAATTCAACATTAAAATCTTAAACTATACAGTGACACTAACTTTACATTTATCGAAATTAACGGGTGTACGATTTAACATGTACGATTTACTGGAGAAAATGGACAGCTACTATAACATGAGCGTTGTTTTTGTAAACAAGAAAAATCTAAATTGATCAGTTCTAAGTTGGAATACCTCTGATACCAAAAATACCTCGAAGTATTTTGTGAAGAATAGACTAGACTATTAAGATGTAATTCGAAGATTTGTCACTCGGAGTACTAGTCTCATAAACTCAGTTGCACACGCAGATTTGAAATGAGAACTCGCAGCAAAAAGAATCTTTGAAAAAGTCTCCTTTCTGTGTCTCTCCAATCTTCGCCCATCTAACCAATTAAGACCTAATGAATCGTGTGCGTAACTTAGCCCAAATAACTTTGGCTTGAAAGCGTCAAATAATAAATAGTCTCACTGAAAATAACCTACCTTCAAATCTCGATGGACGATTTGCTTGTCATGGCTGCGAAGAAAATGCAGTGCACTAGCCATCTGCTTTGCCCAATGGATTACGTGCATATAATTGTAGACGTACACATTGTACATAGTCCAGGGATCAAGACCATCCAGGGCAGTACTGCCATCCTTTTCAGGCTAAAATCAATTCACACTTTCAGACCTGAAAACGATGCCCGTCCCTATTAATTCTTAATTCCAATCGAGAAAAAAAGGTTCCAGATTAAACTTTTGATACACTACAGAGCCTAGCAAACTATACGAAAGTTGTTAGATCCAAAAAATGAAGAAGAAAAAATTTTGAGACAAGCGAAGCGGAGATACAACTAGCGATACAACGAAAGCGACTAGAAAATGAGACGGATAGTCGAAAAGTCGAGAAACTTAGCCAATAACATCAAACAAGCCTTCATTAATTACCGAGTCCCCACTAAGCCGACAATACATGGGTAGAAGCTTATTGAGCCGAATACAAAAAATACCATATAAGATATTGAGCAAATAAATTTAAGAATTTTGCTTTTCCTTTTCAACACCACATCCGAACTACTTATTTTAAAAACAACTTCCTCCCTTCAAATTACACAAAAACATAGCCAACTGACAGTTGGAAAAGAGTAATGAACGCAAAAAAAACAACAAAAAAAACGATTTGTTTTCTCAAAAATCTTCAACTTTTGAATTTCGAAGAAAAAAAAAGGCCGCCTTACAGCTCTTTGATATTGATAAACATTTTATGACGAACATTTTTTTGTTAAAATAACGCAATTTGAGAAAACTGGATAAATGGTAGGTTAAAATTTTTAGTTCGCTAGGAAATCTGATAATTAATTTCCATTTCCGAAATTAGAAGTCGATGCTGCTGTTCGATAATGGAGCTTGCCTCCCTTTTAACAATAGAAACGCACTGAATTTAAAAAGTAATCACAAGTCAAACCGCGAAAAATCAAAATTGAGCGTGAACAAAATTTAGGACTTTTACTGAACAAAAAAAAATCAGCAAGACCTATATATGAGTTTTCACTACATTCATTACTCTTAAAAATTGACTAAGCCACTGAAATCGGAGTCGACTTAAGCTACTAAGAAAAAAAGGAAAAATACAAACTCGGGGCTAGTAAATTTACAAATTACAGGGGTAAATCAACGACACTGACAAATAAGATGAAAAAATTTTTCAGAACAGAAAAATCAAAATCAGTGATAGGTCAGGTCAATTAAGCCGACAAAAAATCGTCAGACGAAAAACCGAGATTTCATTTTCCCGGATAAAAATTTCTAAATTTTTAACATACTGAAAAAATCATGGTCGAGGGAAACTCGATCCCCAGACCCTAGGTTGCAAAAGCCAACGCGTGACTTCTAGAACAAAAAATGCAATAGCCAGTTTTTGATTCGCGTTTGAAACGATAAAGCCGGAAAAAATTGAACAGACAACCGTCGAGTCGAACAACTTTATTTTCACAACATAGCCAAAAGACAGTGGGAAAGGAGTCAATGAGCAGAAGGAACCAGAAAAAATGACTTGTCTGTCGTAAACGAATCAACTTTCAAATTTCAAAGAAAAAATTTATATGGCCTTTAAACTATGAAAAATTTATCATCATTTTTCGATGAAACTAATACAATTTGAGAAAACTGGATCAATTCGTTAAAATGTTTTACTTTGCTGGGAAAACTAATACTTAATTCTATTTTCGTGACTTAAAAACTTTCGCTGTTCGGTACTGGAGTTTGCCTTCTTTTTTTCAACAAATGAGATGGGCTGAACTTAACATCAGAGGCAAAGCGGATCTTCGCTCCACTCGCGATACTACAAAAAATGGTACGGCGGCCAGCCCCAAAGAAAGGCACGGAGATCCCCCCAAATACCCTTCCGTAAGCACAAAAGCAACTTCAGAATTTGGTGTTTCATGCAACGAATTAAAAGGCAACTAAACAGATATGCATCAGCCGAAACCATTTAAGCCGAAAAAAATCTTAAAAGGAAAAAAGCGAGACTAAAAACAAGAGTTGATTTACAACCAACAATAAGACCTCGAATGGAACGGCCATTTAAAAGGCAGACAAGCTCAGAAATAATCTGTTGACAGTCATTATGTTCTGTTGCTATCAGCTACATTTAGCTGTGGCTAACAGCTGATCTGAATGATTCAACTGATTTTATAAAAATAGTTGTTAAATTGAAAAGTCTATATTCCAGTTTTATAACGCTTGCTAATCGCAAGCGTAAAGAAAGCAAAAGACACAGCGAGACTTGAACTTTGAACGTGAACAAGCGCTAAGACTTCTTTCTGGAGAAAAAAAACTTGAAAAGATAGCCAACAGTCAGTTGAAAGAGTCAAGGAACGCAAGTAAACAAAAAACATCAGATGACAAAAAATCAGATGACCTTACAACCCTTTGAATTTCTAGAACAATTAATTTCTTTTGCTAAAATTAACTCAGTTTGGGAAAACTGGATTAAAAGCTAATATTCCCCATTCAAGACCCACTGCAGCCTATTAGCAAAAAATTATAACCCATCCAATTTAGTTTGTCAAATCTTAGTTGACATGAAAACAGTTCTTGTGCTTTCATTCGTGAACGCATTCATTCGAAAAAGCATCCATGTTTTGTTTTTACAGAACTTAGCGCTGCATAGGGCTATGAGTATGAATAAGAAAAACAAAATTGCATAAACTATTTTATTGTGCTTGTTACTCTTTTTCTGAATTTTTTACTCGGACATAATTTACTGGAGAGGCTATAACCGAAAAGGCCCAAAGTTTTTATTCAACTGAAAAAACTCAAAACGAAGGTCCACTTCCAAAACACTTTAAGACTTTTTCTTCAAAAAACACAAGAAAAAACAAAGACCTTTATAAGAGTCTTCGCTTCGATCATTGACTTTTTTTCGCTTCGCTCACCTAACACAATATCAATGACTCCATGGTAACTATACGGCAAAAAAAATTCGATATGCCATCTTCTAAGATTTCAATTCAAAAATGCTCTTTGAAAAAGAGAAAAAGCTTTAAAAAAAGAAGCAGCTATTGGGCCTCATTAACCTCACCTGTCATCTCCATCCGAGCTTGACATCAGATTAAACCCGTTCGCCGGTGTTTAAGTATTCAACTCAACTCTTTTTCCACGAATTCGGATATGAGTGTTTATCTAGATTTTTTTGAAACTGTAAGACAGAATGAATAAATTTGATTGTTTCAATTTTTAAAATCAAATTTCAAGTAATTCAAGCCGCTTTTTTTAGAGAAACTGTATGAATTGGAGGCAGAAAAAAATCAATTTTTTTTTGATAAAATTAATCCATAAGGGAAAACTCGATCAATAGGTAAAATTAGGTGTTTGCAGAGAAATCGGATCGTTAAATTCCATGTTCGCAATAAGAGGTCAATCACGTTTTTCGTGGCTTTTCCACTTTCTCTGCTCCATAGTGCAGTTTGCCTCCCTTTTAACAAAGGAACTGAACTGAACTAAAGAAAAAATCAAAACTTCAGCCCGAACTTTTCCTGAAAACAAAACAAAAAAATCATCGCGACCAATATAAAAGTCAACTACGTTCATCGACTCTTAAAAATAATCACGACCTTCATAAGAGTCTTCACTGCGTTCATTGATTCATTAAACACTAATTTGAAAAACTAATTCCCCAAAACCCACAAACGCACAAAAAATCAAGGATAGCATGTGGCTGTGCGAGTATCACAGAATGTTCTGGCCATAATCTAAAAATAAAATACGTAAAACGCTTTTTCATATACTTTTTTCAAATTAGTGTTGCTTTTTAGTGTATCTAAAATTAGGCAACAGTTTTAGTCGAAACAATCAAAAAAACAAAAAACAATCAAAAATCAACAAAAGAATCTTGAAAAAAAAACTTTTTTTTTGAATAAATGGTTTGGAAATTTTTTCTAAAAATGGCGCTAATAAAATTTCGGAAAATAATTTTAATGTAGTTCAATTAATTTTCATGCTTATTCTTCTATAATAAACCCGCTAGCTGGCTTTAATCGTTGGAAGATCGACTAAAACTCAAAAATTTCAAACCCGTTGTCTCGACACTGGGACAACTTTTTGAAAACTATTTAGGGTCGTTCAAGTCAGGACTGATAGGGCTCTTATATGATACACCACTCCACCCATTACGATGATTATTTGCGTTAGTATTTTTGCTTGAAAAATTAAATAAGCCTGCTCACCTCATTCACTCGAAATTAGACCAAAATCTTAACTTTCAAACTGGTTTTGTCGACACTGGGAAAACTTTTTCTATGTCTTTCAAATCACAACTGAACGGGCTTTAATTTGATATATCGCTCGGCTCACTCCAATAATTAATTTTGTTACCTGATTATTTTGCGTGGAAACAAAAAGAAAAAACTAAAACACACCAAATTTTAAGAATTGTTACCCCTGCGACATTACCTTCTGCAATACAACTCTCGACTTAGTCTCATCAGTGAACGATCTCGGACTACAAATCAACATAACTTTGTCGTGGACCGAGCACATAAAGAAAAAGCTAACTAAAGCAAATGCAACATTCTTCCTGATACGCCGCAGTGTCAGTCATCTTCTCTCTCCGCAGGTGAAGCTCCACTTGTACAAAACACTTCTCATGCCTATCATTCTATATGCTTCTCAATGCTGGTCTCCAAACAAATCGGACTTGAAGCAACTAGAAACCTTCCAGAAACGAGTTGTCAGATGGATGCTCCCTGACACACCGTACCGTGAAGCAATCAGTTCCCTTGGCATCTTACCCATTGCGTATTTTGCCGTTTTAACTGACTTTCTCACTCTTTCAAAAATTGTCAGTGGACTATATGACTGTGATCTCACCAGTTGTTATTCCTGCGCACCCAGTGGCTCACGACGCACAGCAACTCGTTTACTGTTTGATATCCCGATCATTAAGCTCGAGCGCCAGCGCAACAATTTTTGGTATAGAACGCCTTGGAGAGCCATCAGAATAGCAAACGTTATCGACATCAGAACCTTCTCGCCTGACTTGAAGTATCGTCTACTCAAACTCATGTGGTCGTTTTTCCACAGTCACTATGATGAACTCAGTCCATGTACCTGGACATTCTTGTGTTATTGCTCAAATTGCAGAGATCGACACATTGACCTCTCGGGACTCGATTGACTTGATTTATCTACGGGACTAACAGTCCCCTCATTTACGTTGTAAATGTAAATCCAATATAATAATAATAATAAAATAAAGTTCTTCCCGATTTTCAATGCTCGGAACAATTTGTTCTCTCATCAAACAACGCAATACGATTCGACTACGCAGAAACCAATAAAACTTTTTAAAAGTCTGTTAAAAATGGCCCTAACGTCAGACGAAGGTCCGTACACCGGTTCGATACGGCAGTTTCAACGCCATATTTATGCATCCATGTAAACACGAAAGCAATAAATATGGTCCTGGAAATTCCAATAAATTCAAATCATACTTCATATTAAATCTGGTATTTAAACTTTTTACACAATGAGAGTGACGACAATGTAAGCAACGTTTCAAAGTATACATTGATTCAATCATCGTCTAAAATCAGTTCCAAAAGGAAAGCATCATGATGAAATGTCGTTATAAATCTGCCTTCTTCTAAAATAGCAATTATGAAACTTTCTGATGTTTATGTATGACGCCGAAAAAAAAACGAAATATACGAAACAAGCCCATAAAAACGTCTGCTGTTGTCTAAGTTAAACATTTAACTAGAAATTGATGTTATATAGGAGCTTAATTTTAAAGGAAAAAGGGAAGCGCGTTTAAAAAAGTGTTTTTTTTACTTTTTACGCTATTCTTTTAAAAAGTAAGCAATAACTGCAATATTAAATTTAAAAATAAATGATTTTCTATGAGTTTAAACTTTAGCTAAGATAGTAGTACTCACCAAAGGATAAATCACCTTTGCTAAATCAAGCTCAGCTATTTCCATCACAAGAAGAAAATGTTGATTTACAGCGTCTTCATGTGGGACGAAATAGCCTAAAATTTTAACGATGTTTTCATGCTGAAGAGCACACAAAGATGAAACCTCTCGCATAAAACCCTTGTCATCGAAGTCGGATGTTGCATGGTACTTTTTGATTGCACAGGATTCATTTCTATAAGATCCTTTATATATACTGCTACTCAGTGTTTTGCCGAGACAGTTTTCGTGCTTGTATTCAACTGAGATAGATTTTCGATCTTCAATTCTGAAACTCGGGCGGTTTGACATGCGGAAATTTCTGAAACAAAAATCTTTAAATTAAGTTTCTGTTTCATGAATATTGTAACATTCGCCGGTAAGTACATACCGACGGAAAATAAAGCTAGGTTATGAAACGACTGGCTAGCTCCTAAACACAGCTTCACATGCTTTTAACCGTCTCTGTTAAAGCCGAATCTATATGTCGTCCTTTAACATCGGGTCGACAAAGTCATTACTTAGTCGACCATAGAAAAACTTGATAGAAGAAATTGACCATAGAAGAGCTTGACCATTGACCATAAAAGAACTGGATAGTAACGGTAATTTGGCCTTTTTGGATTTGAGTTTAAGTGCTCGTGGCCTGCAAAGAAGAGATGACCGCAATTTTGTTACCACCATCACTCCTTAGATTGGTCCTGAAAAGAAAACTCACTTAGAAACTTGTGGTAGATTATTTAAAACAATTTAATAAATTTAATAGCAGTTTCCTGAGAATTAAATTTCTGAAAAAATGTCTCGATAACGCGTGCCTGATAACGTTATTTTTTCGGATCAAGCGGTGCACAGCTTTCAATTGAGACTCTTGAGATCTGAGATAAGCCAGGCATATGCGGATAGGACCAAGGCATCGGGTAACCAAGCAAAAGCAAGGGAGGTATTGAGAAGGGGTATAGATGAGAAATGGTGGCCTTCGGTAATATTCTATCAATTAAACAGTTTTGAGAGACATTGAGAGTTTTTTGTCTGAATTGAAGTTAAATAAATTACCCGGAGAAAAAACCTATGTGAGATTGAAGCAGCTGCAAAGAGATATGCTAAGAATGTGAAACAGACCCCCTCTGACAAAGGTGTTGAAAAAGCCAGAATGTATTTGAAGGAAAACAGTCTTCTGGCAGTGCCGTTTGATGTGTAATGGCAGTGCGGGTGTGGGTTTTTCTTTAATTAAAAAGGAGACATATGAGAAGAAACCGAAAGTTTTTTTACAGGCAGAACAATTTAGTGAGAGGAAGAATATGATAAACAACGTGATCATAAAAACTGAAAAAGACATAAACAAGGAATTACTCGCCATGAAAAAGAAGGACGAGATTAGCGAAGCGCTGTATACTAGGTTGAGATCAATGGGGGCACAGCCGGCTAGGCTGCATGGATTAGCAAAAGTACAAAAGCAAGGTACACCACTTAGTCCCGTCCTTTCTTTACCTGGTAGCTCATATGGCAACCTAAATGAAACATTGGCAAAGTACTTTAGGAAATTGAGGGGGCAAACATAGAAATGAACACTCAAATGGCCAGGGAGATCTTGGAGAAAACTGAACTGGACTCTTCTGATGAGAGTATAATCTTCGTTGTTGTAAAGAGTTTGTACACTAATGTCCCGCTCAAGGAAGCCGTTGAAATAGCCCTGAGGAGATTATATGAGCAAGTCAACCCTACAGAAACATCTCGCAAGACAATGAAAAAACTACTGAATTTGGCACTGAGTAAGGTAAATTTTAAATGCAGTGGTTTGTGGTATGTGCAAAAAGACGGTTTAGCAATGGGCGCCTCCCTTGCAGTAATACTGGCTAATTTGTGGCTCAAAGAATACGAAACTGCATTAAAGAAAGAATTACCAAAATTGACTGTGCTAAAAAAGGATAACAAGGCGGAAGGCGGTCTGCCCTAGATGTCAGAAAAAGGTGACATATTGGACTAAAGGGATAGAATGCGAAGCTTGTTTGAATTGGTACCGATTAGGGTGTGGTAAAATATCGGAATCTGAATATGCAGACATCGCTGAATGTAACATTCGCCCGGAAGATACAAATCGACTGAAAATAAAGCTAGGTTCTAAGATCGACTGGCCAACGTCTAAACAGAGCTCTACATGCTTTTCACCGTCTCTACCAAGCCAGTACTTTCGGTGGTCTTTCTAACATTGGGTCGACAAAAACGTTACTGCTTTCGGCTTCGGTCAAAACACTCAGATTAACTTAATTACATGCAGAAATAGTGAGCTCATGCCTGGGTCTCAGTATCCCCAGACCACGAGGTCACTCCTAAAATCAGGGCTACTACTATTTATTGAATTATTATTGTTTTTGTTCAGTAGATAAAAATCATCATCTCCATCGAAGATGGATCAACCCTTTCCCCAACTACTAGCTTCTCATCTTAGCAGAATGAATTCAGATGTTAATTAAAATCAATTCAGGACATAATAGGGAAGCTAAAAGTTTGTATAAGATGATAAAAGTTCCAGTCCCGAGACCCCTCCGGATTCTCGAATCCGGAGTAATAAGACCCTTATCTTCCTTCCGGAAGGCTGTCTTCCACCCTTCACCGTCGTTCGCAACGGCCTTGCAACTATTGTAGCGACACAATAGTTGCAACTCGGAACGGTCTCTGCCACTTCTGCAATTTGTTGTTGTTTTCCAATCGAAATTCTTGTCGTTATCGCTATCGCAACTAATGTTGTTGTGTTTTATTTCGGTTTCCTGCCAAAATGGTCGTTTCTGACGTTTCTCAGAAATATGACGTCATACTTCGAAAATTTAAAAATTTGAAACACCAGAATATTCTAGCCTTCACCGTTTGACTAAAGGTCCCAATAACGTTGTTAATCTCTTAAAACCGTCAATTCGGAAGGTTCTCTGCTAAAAACTCGAAATTGCTGCGTCTGCATTTTTGTCCATTCTGGTCGAATGTCACATATTCCCCGGACAGTCTGGTCAATGTCCTCATTGAATCTCGCAATGTTCGTAAAATTGGTACAGTGTCATCGAACAGAATTTACAAAATGCACGAAATTACTTTTATCCGCGTCATATCGACTCACTGCAGAATATAAATGGCATCATACTACATCACTATAGCCTTCAAATTCTTTCATTAATCTGCACATTGAGGATATGACCTAAGATAAAAACATCTTTTCTGACTTCCATTGTCAATGCCCTGATTAAAAAAAATTTCTCCTAGATTTTTAAAAGATGTTGGTTTGCAGGACAGTCCTGCCAACCAACACTCTAAAATTATCCTACTATGCTTTTTCCCTTCGGAAATCTTGCTTTTTATTGTCCTGAATATTAAAACTAAGAAACTCTGTGGTTAGAAAGAACAATGAGACAATCTCCTTCTTCGAGAGATTACCCAAGCCTTTCATATCACCACAAAGTGATTAGTTCTCCTAGTTGATTAAAAACAGTCATGCAGGCTGGAATATTTAAATATACTCTTTACTCAAGCCTTTCTAAATAAATAGTAAGTGTCTCTAAAGCCACCAACTAAAATCAAAATGCAAATTTATAAATGCAACAAATTCTTTAATGTTCAAAGCTCAACTAAATGTTTCAGTTTTCAATTACAATTTGGTTGCTTGGTTTCTCACTTGAGTTTTTTCACACACATAAAACAATTCTGAATTTTAATTCCTTCTTCTACGTCACTTCTTTGTTTTCTTCTTTTTTCGTCGTTTAGAAGTTCTAAAACTTCTAAATTCTTCTAAATTTTTTTCTTTTTGCCTCTTGTTCTTTCGACCGTTTGTCAATGTTCCATCTCTTCCTCCTGTGACACTGACTCTGCATTTTCAGTTTCTGTGTCTCGCAACACATCGTTAGCTATTCTGACGCTGTTGGAAGCAGTCCTCCAATACTTCTGCTCTTCTACCCTCTGTTTGCAACAAGGTAGGGGATCCACGTTAGATTCTCTGTTTCGGCAGAAGCTGTTGTGGAGACACAACGTCACGTTTCTCTCCAGATCTTCCTTCAACATCTCTTCCTTCTCCTTTCCACTACGTTCACTCGTCCTGGAAATTCTTTTTACAGCGGTGGTCACTGCATTCCGATGAGTCACGAAAGTTCGCTTGAAAGCTTCTGCTCCAATCTCCAGCTGATACCCACTGTACACCCAGCCGTGCTTCGACATATGCTTCTTGGCATATTGGTACAACCATGCAGTCATGTTAGCTCTGAACCATGGCATCAATCGTCTTCTTGCCCATATCTTTTTCACTTCCATCGGAATGTTTAGAATCTTGCTCGTTGTCTCAAAAAGATCTAAATCTTTTAGACAATCCAATTTCTGCAACTGTTCTCTCGTTGGTGCCTCCTGTCTATTGTTTTCTCTCACATGAGCCTCCAGCCATCGTATCGCCATCATAACTCCCACTATCACTATTGTTATGGGCCGTGATGAGTCTGGTAAACCCATGGAGAACAGCTCTCCAGAGTCCCAGATCAACACCAGATTACTACGCTCGGGATACCACCAGGTCTGCAGCAAGCAGTGGCAGGGAAATTCGTCATGTGTCAACATGATGCTCCTCCAATTACGTTTTCCCGTAGCTTCCAGTAATGGCTCCACTTCCATCATCACTCGGTAGACTTCGTCATTCTCGTCTACTGTATTGTTATCCGTAACGGTTGATCCTCTCTGTTTCTGTCTTTCAAAGTCACTGAAGTTCCCACTCATATATCCCATGAACCTCCTTCCCAGTATCGATTCCAACTCCTCCTTTGTTCTCTCTGGAACTGCTGAGAACATTTTACATAGCAACTCGTAAGATTTTTTGGACATTCTCGTTAATCGCACACACTTTGGCACTGAGAAGGCTTGATCCATCATCGTTCTCGTACTCTTTACATCCACAGCTACGAAATGCTCCGGGTATCTGCTCTTGCACATTGGAGCCAATGTCGATCCCACCAAATATCGTGCTCCTGATGGTCTACAATAAGACTCACTATGTCTGATGTTCATTTCCGTCTCGATCGCTTCCCTCCATTTTCCTATGTACTTTTGCTCAGTTTGCAGAACTCCTGGCAACACTTCTACACTGATCGCTGCGCCCATCTCATGTTTCTGTTCTAGATTCAATAGTGACTCTAAAGAACCAAACATGCTGTAGAATCCTAGTGCAGTCACTAGATTCACTTCGGTTCCTCCATGGCAATCTGCGATCAGTTCCTTTTTCGTCTTTGCTTTCATCACAACATTCCCAAACAATATCGTCAATTGCTTGTGTTGTCTCTCTAGGGTTTTCACACAAT